AGATGTGAGTTTTAAATTTTTTTTGCGTTGTTTTCGCTTTGCAGTTGTCTATGTTTGATCTAGAACTTTATTCTCTGCTCCATAAATAACCTCCGAACAAGACAAAAAGCTAGCGAGTTGAATTCAATACAAGCGATTATGTGGCTACTTTATTAAAGTGGTATAATTACTTGCTATGCTACATCTGTTTTATTATACCTGCCTATCTAATTTATACCAGTTGTTTGCTCAATTCGCTAGTCTAGAAAGTTTGTGGCATCGAAATAAGCTTATGAACATACCAGCTTACTTGTTTTATACCAGATTTTTGTTCGATTCGCCACTCTCCAATCTTGGTCGAATCGGGTTGGACTAAATTTAAGGTTGTTTCTTTCATACAAATTGCAAAACTTGCGGCTTAGAAGTATTTTTTCTTTTTTTATACTATATAATTTTAATTAATTTTTACTTTTAGTTGTCTTGCAGACACTTCAATGAGTAATTTTATAAATATTTTAATTCAACTCGCTAAATTTGTAAAATAGACTATCTTATAATTACGTGCTCATCAGCTGTCATTCTCTTATCGTTTCATGCGTTATCTAACCTCACTGATCGTTGAAAATGTTAAACTTCGGTTATTTAACCATATAAAAAAAAAACCAACATATTTACGCACAAATATTTGTACCGTAAGCACACAGATAACACAAAAACTATTTAACACATTTCCAACATAAATATTTATTGAGCTCGCACATGCGGGCATAAGTGTACGCACTTTGTCACTTTAGCTGCCGATAAGCAGCCCTTAAGCGACAGATAAAAAGTTACATTAAACTTGCTGTATTTACAACTACTATAAACTGTTCCCCCTTTCATATGCCTCGCACTATTTACTAGAACTTTTATTCAATTCGCGCTTAAATCCAGTTGTACTAATACATTATATACATATGTATATGTTTGTGTGTGTGTGCTTCATTCAGCGTGGCTCAATTCTCGCTGATAAGCATAATTTCTAATCAACAATTGTTGTTCACTCGACCTAGAGGAAGTTAATACACATCATACATGCTCCAATAATGTGTGACATATTGTTGTTGTGTTGTAGTGTTGTTGTATTTTAGTACCGCCGTATGCATAGACGACACATGGAATCGCACAATTTACAAAATTCATGAATTGAAACTTGAAATTCATGAATTAAAAATGACCCGCTTGCATTGTCGCAGCCGCGGACGCGTCAATCGACTTGAATTTCTGCCGGCTTGCATAGTTTGTTTTATCCGTTTTTGAAGCAGTTCGCGCGCAGTTCAGGGCTTTTGTTCATTAAGTTTGAAGTGAGCGTCGAGCGTTTTCAAAAAGTTTGTATGGAAGTAGTTTTTTAGCCTGGGTCTTAAAGGCCTAAAATGTATTTTTTAAGTAGCCAGCAGTTTTCGAGACATTATTTTGACAGAAATTCAATATGTTTGAATGGAATTTTGTTGCGCAAGTTTATGAAAAGAATATTTTAATAACAAAAATATTATGTGAGTATCAAAACAGCGGAAAAACTTAAAAAAAAAAAAACATATTTGAAATTTAATTGTGTGAATTTTCATATTTTTATAAGAAATAAAATTTATTCTTTTATATTTAATAAAAAGTATTTTTCTATAATGCTTACTTGTTAAAAATTAAAATTCGTTAATTATTACAAATATTTTAATACTTTTTTTTCGAATGGTTTTACTAATCCATAATGCGCTGTTAAAAAACGCAGTGTTTCAGAAAAAAGTAGTAACAACAGTTGATAACAAAGATCAATGTTTTCTGATTTCATATATGGTATGTACATAAATACAGTGTATTATGTATTATAAAGTTTTTCGCCCATCACACATTTAGTAACTTTTGTGGTACTGTACTGTTTGAAATTCACAATCACAAATACAGTCACCAGTTTTCCGCCATTAGTCAGTTTGTTGCCAAAACCACAAAACACTTCAGACCGTTACGACTGCTAAATAAATATTGTGTATACAGTTATTAACGAATTGATATAGTTTTGATAAGATTATTTTGTAGTGGATTTCATTGATATAATAAATATAATATTACTGAGTCATAAAATCAAAGTCAAAGAGAAATACACGATTTGTAACATTTTGTTGTAAACATTGTAGCTGCTTGGTTTTAGAAGGCAAACATAGTGCTGTACATCGAATTAAAAAAAAAGTTTGTGTGAAAATTTTCAAAGTAAAAGTTAAATAATAACACTAAAGCAAAGACAAAAAACTTATAAAAAATAAAATTTTAAACTTTAAACAAAAACTAAAATGCAATAAAAAAAATTAAAGAAAAAATATAAAAAACTGAAAATATTTGTTCAAAATTACACAAAAAAATAAAATAAAAAAAATAATAACAATTCTGAAATCAAAATAGAAAAAATTTAAAGAAACTTTGAGAGTGCATTAAAATAAATTTTTTTTTAAACCACAAGAAATTAAACAAAAAAATTTTCACTCAAAAATTATTTTAATCGATATTGCTATAAGTAAAAGGCAAAAAACAATATTTAATATTATTTTATGAAAAAAGTATTTGTAAATTATATAATTTCATAAAAAAATCGCTTGTATCGTGTATACTATTCAAAGAAAAAAATATTTTTAAGGCATTTAACATTATGCTGCATTCTTGATGCTGAAAAATTACAAAAACCAAAATTTTTTCTGCAATAAAATCTGCTCAATTTGTCAATTATTAGCACATATTGAAGCTGTCTAAATCATACACAATTCATTAGCTCTGCTTTGACAAACTACACACAGCCTATGCCAAGGCGTCAAGTCAACAAAAATTAATAATGCGCACGTTGCTGCTTTATTTTAAAGCAAAAGTGCACATAGGTATGTGCATAGCTGAATAATTATAATACATATAGACATTTTTCAACTAAACTCTATATATGCATACATATGTTTACACCTGCTTTAATATCATAATTATTTCTACTTTTTTATATTCTATTAAATATTTAATTTCGCTTTTCAATTCATGTAACAAATCTAGTCACTCAAAAATTCCATAAAATGCCCACAAAACTGCGTCTGTCAATAAAAATATAAATTTCAATAAAATTGCTAAGTATAAGTACAAATATATACCGTAGCTGGTAAAAATTCAGCTTCAGCAGCAGTAAAAACGCACATAAAAACAAAATCGAAAAAAAGCAAACGGAACAAGTTGACGTCATGCCGTCACATCGAATCGAATCGCGTACGAATTCGATTTTAGTTCTGTTATTGACTTGACTTTTGTTAAATGCGAGTTGCGTGTTAAAATTTTCTATATATATCTACATATATTTCTCTACTCTTGCATAGCGAAAAGTTCGTACGATTAAGTGCATATGACTGACTGACTACACACAGTCAGTTGTTGTACCGTGTACAACATTTCGAGATTGGTTCAATTCATTCAAATATTCGCTTTTGTAAGGTACAAACCGACAAACCAACAAATGTGTGCCAATCTACGCAAATATGGTTTCAATTTATTGTGTTTTGTTTTCAGCTTATAGCACAATACCCGGTAGAGAGTAACCATAATTGCTAATGTATTGAGCATTTTTAAGCTTTTTGAATCATGTTTTAGTTATTATTATTTATCAAAATTTGATTCAAACAATGTATTTTTCATTTCCGTTAATATCGCATTCCTCTCAATATGACGTCATTACAGAAACCGTCAAACTTTTTTTCATATTTATCCTATTTCTGTTTAAATTTGAATTTTATTATTTTTTAATAACTAAAAAATAAAATCAACTTCCAAAAATCTTAAAACCAGAACAAAAGAAATTTCGTATATTTAATATTTTTTCCTTTTTTTATGTTTCTGAAATAACAATTTTCTCCATATGCTTTTAATTATTATTTCTTTATTTTTGTTTTTAATTTAATCTCTTTTTTCTTAAATAAAATATTTTTCTTTTTATTTTTTAATATAAAAAATTATTTGTTTTCAAAAATTATTTACGTCTTTCCTACAGGGCATTATCCCACTTTGTGCTTTTGTTTGTGCAATTCATTTGTTCGTTATTAAACTGATTCTTATATTGTCCATAATATTTAATATCAATTATTTTTCTTTATACCTTAAATTGCTCTTTTATTAACTATTGCGTCTTGTTAATTATACAAGTATATTTTTATCATAAAAGTTTTATTTTATTTTATATTTTATTAATTTTTAGCAAATCCATTATTTTTTTTTAAGTAAAAATTTTTGTATAAATATTTAATTGAAAAGATATATATAAAAGTTTTTTAAATATTTCATTATACTTAATTTAATTTATTTAATATAATTTTATTTGATTATATTGTATATAACTTAATTTAATTTAAAAAACTTTTTTTATTTCGTTTTGTTGTTTAATTTTGTTTTATCTTACTTTATAATTCATTTTGTTTTTTACATTTTTTTTTAATATTTCGTTAAGTTTTTTTTTGTTTTTTGATTATTTTTAAAACAATTTAGTTTTCTTTGCAAATATCACATTTTAAGCAATTTCAAATTGCATATATTTTTTATGATCGAAACAAAAGCCATATTTTGTTTTCTTCGAAAATAAATTTTATGTAAAAACAAATAACAAGTAAAAAAATGGGTAGAAAATGTCTAATCTAAATACTGTCTTCCTGCAACATAAACCATTTATTTTCTTGAAGGATTATAGTTGTCCTTGAGCGTTAAGCCAGTACTCATATTTGAGTCACATTAGTATTTTTCGAAAAATAGCTAAAAAAAAAATATTTATAAGAAAGCTCCACTCTCGTTTCATGTTTTGGTTACTAATTAAATATTTTTTTTCTTATATACCATAATTGTTGTTTTTTTAAACTTTTTTTTTTTTGATTGTTTATTCAGCTTCTGATTTTCTAAAATTCTCATAATTCTATACGTAATATATTTTTTTTTACTTTTGTTAATACAAATCTGCTTATATTTCTGTTTTCACTCTTCAGATTGTAAACGATCGACAATTTGCGATACACACGGCACAGCTTCGGCACCTGAGGTAATGCCATCAGAAGACTGCAACGGGGATTGGTCCTCAACGATGCCGCAAACCGGCAATCGTTCGCCATTGATGAGAAGCTGCTCCACACCAGCTGTTTATGGTGAGCTTAATAATCAATTAAAACTTTATATACAAGCACATAAGTAAACATATATACCATATATATTCACATTCACATACAACTAAAAACTCGTAAAAAATTATTAAAATCTAAGTGATTTGCATTATTAGTGTATTTATTAAAAATTTATGCCGAGTATTTGTTACCGATATTTTTAAATTTTTTTTTATTTACTCATACATGTAATATGTGTATGTATGTGTATACGACACTTCTGTCAAATGACTTTCTGTTAGGCATATCTGCCACTCGCTCCCAGCTGAATAAGCCAGTATTTATTTATGCAAGTTTTTAACATTCAAAAACACACAGATGCGCATATATGACAAGCATTACGTGCGCTGAATGCAAATTGCACAAACAAATATTTGCATAACTGAGGATAAAAATGATAACCGATATCAGGCAAAAGCAAGTCTGAGCAATTTAGCGAACTTGTTTAGCAAGCTTTTTGTGAAAATCACAGCTTTTGTCACGCGTTCAATCGGGTGAATGTGTATAAGCTTGTATATATGTATGTATGTATATATGCTTGCGCATTTATCTATACATATAATGTATGAGTGTATGTATGTACATAGGCCTTTATTTAGTTACACATATTTGCATGCGTTTTAAATGAATATTTATTTCCTCATCAACGCACTGCATCAACAAATAAATATAATTGTATAACATGCTTATGTATATGAGCGTTTCTATAAATTTACAGCTATGAAATAATAAAAATCTGTCGGTGATAGGTTGGTGCACAAAACAATAACTTTGACATAGGCAACCGAGCTTGGTGGTTTGGCGAGCGATACAATACATACATACACACACTCACACAAATTTAACATACATATATATGTATACAAGTATATATATATATATATAAATATGCATAACGACAAATAAATTGTGAACAGTAGCTGTCAATTAAAAGCACATAAAACGCGCACAAACACAGCAACAACAACAAATCCAAATGGCAGCAGCAATTTCAGCTTCAACTGCGTCCCGGCGCATGCAAATGATGTCAATAATGTAATTCAAAATTACAAGTACTTGATTTTAATTTGTTTCTCGCTTTTCACTAGTTGTTCGCATTGCGAACTGCGCTCACATATATGTATGTATGTACATATATGTTGTTGTTGCAGAGTGTAGCGTGTTTACTGCAACGAGCACGTGCTGCATGCACGCCAAATTCCAACGCCACCACCACCACCAACAACAGCTACAACAACACCAGCGCCAAATAGCGACAGTGCAGTTGCCAACAGGCATGCAAGAGCAGTTGCTCATACGCCGTGTAGCACGGCTTTGGCACTTTGGCAAATGGCAATAATTCCACTGCGCTGCTTGTTGTAATCATGCAAATTATTTCTATTTTGCACAATCATACAAAACTATAAGCGCATGCTAATTAAATGGCTGGCCAGTGGTTGTTATTGCTGTTTTTGCCTTTTCACCTTCACAAAGCGGCGTGAAAACAACAGAATAATTTGCAATTTCGTCAATGCACAAAGCGCAAAACTTCCGTTAGACGGTATAAAATTTAAATGCGCGGTAAAGAGCAGCTAATAAGTTTTTGATATTTGTGTGTGTGTGTAATTTTATAATTATTTTAATACAATATATACTGTATGCGCGCTTTAGTCGCCCGATCTCTGCTGTTATTGGCAAATCATTTGAAAACATCCCCATTCCTTTCTCTCTATGAGGTCAAAAGTACGCATGTACTGTATACGTATGTGTGTGTCTATCACTTATTGCTGGCGCTGGCGCCAACGTCGATGCTGCTGCGCGTCACTAGTGGCCCCCGTTGACACGACTGATAAGCTAAGACACAATAAATATGTATTTGGAAGCGCTATGAGCACGTATATAAATACATATGTATGTATGTACTAAAAAATGTTACTTATATTGCATTTGAAAAAACATATGTATGTTTGTAAACGTGTGTACAATTACATTTTTTACATATGTACTTCGGGCTTGAATGCTTAGCTGCTTAAGCATGATTCATTTATAAGGCTTAATTGCTGCTCATTCGCTGTGTACTTTATAATGATTGTTTATTGTTTTTGTTGGCATTGCATTTATTATTGAACTGTAAGCGGGCTCTATAGAGGTACACAATAAGCGAAAATTTGTGAAAAAATAATTATTTAGAAAAGAAATCACCAATAATTTGGCAATTTAGTAAGTTAAAGTGGTGATAACTTTTTTCTTTTGCATTTTTATTATTCAACAAATTTTTTTTTAAGTTTTTAAATTTCTAAAAAGTTTTTTTTTTTACTTTTTTTATTTTTAGAAAAAACAGCTAGGTATAGCGGTCAATTTTATATTGTTTATATATTTTATTATTTTGTCAATTCACAAAATTAAAAAAAAAATAATAATTTTAATTGAGAATTTAATATGAATAAATAAAATAATATATATTTATTAATAATTTTTACATATATTACATACTATATTATTCAATGTTTCACAAAGCATTATTTTCCAAACCTCCGCCACCACTGTAATTTCACCTGTCCACTCAATTATCTGCTAACCTTTTCATAATCGAATTCGTGAGTGTTTCGAATATGTATCACTCATACACACACTTTATTTCAGTTATTGTGAAATTAGTTACAAATGCATATACATATACTGTTACTAGCCGCTTCGTTAATTTATTACTCAGCAGGATCAAACAATGACGCGTCAAAATTCCTCCGCACCATTGATCATGCACATGCACTCAAGTATACATACCTATGTACATAAGTATGAAAATGTGAACTCGCTGATATTAGTCAGTGACTAGGATGCGTTGGCTTTGTATTTTACCCAGGTATATCTACCTCAAATCAATGTGGTATAAAATGACATTACTCAAGTATTTGTAATATGTCGTTGAATCAGCAAAAGTGCGGGTTGGTTTTGAGAAAACATGTAGATTATCAGCAAAATTTCAAACAAGTGCAATATATGGCCTTTCATATACATCAGTGTGTACATACAAGTATATAAATTATATGAGACACCAGTCAAATACGCCGGGAATTGTTAAGGTTAGTGCTAATAAAAAGGGTATGGCACCTAAAATTGAGATCATCATGGAACAATGTACACATTTCGACTCATCGAGGAGTCACTTGGTGGAAGAATTTCTAAAGTGTTGAATCATATATGATAAAGTGATATATATAAATATGTAAACGCATATGCATATCGAAGTTTGCATAGCATATATTCATTATTTTTATAGGTAAATTGTTGTACATTTCTAGAACATTTTTCTTTAGTAGTAAAAACATTTTTAACAAAAATTATATTAGTTGATAATAAAAAGTTGAGTAGAGTCTGAATATTGGTTCGCAATTTTTTCTATCATAACACTTAATTTTTTAAAAACCAACTTATTTTAAAAAATATATAAAGATTTTGTAAAAATCTGCAGATAACTAAGAACACTAGTAGTTGCTTAAAAAAAAAATGGCGATTCGAACCAGGAACTGGTGTAAATCCAGTAGACTGGTATAATCAAATAGAAGAGATCTTGAATTCGCCAAACTTTAGAGAGTGGCTAAAATACGAATAACGTGAAAAAATCCGATAAAGTGCCATAATGAAAAGGGCGCAAAATAAAAAGCGATTATACCAGTTTATAATGGTTCTACAAACTACCCTGAATTCAATTGAACTATGATAATTTTGTTCGTGCTTTCACATGTAATTTTTTATTGGCAAGAGCACAGAGCCCAGACCTAACTTAGTGTGCTGATAAGTGGCGACGGGAAGACTGTGAATTTAAAAAGCCTCTAAATTATTGATATCCGATATAATTATATGCTTTACAACAACCAAAAATGAGCTGATGTTTTCATGATTCCTAAATTTTTTTCATAGTGAGTGATTAGAGATTTAATGTTATATGTAGTTACAAATATATATATATATAAAAAATATATATATATGTATATATATATATATATAGAACACATATGTATAGATGATATGTATAGAACGACACTTAAATTCATAAGACCTGAAAGCTTGCTATTCTTTATTCAATAAAAAATGTCTTCTATGAATTTCTATCCCTTTAAATTATCGTAAAAAATATTATTAACAATAAATGCTTTATAATAACTAAAATAACCAAATCAAAGGGCAGAATATATGGAAATGTAATTTAGTATTAACTCCATAATGAAATTTATTGTTTTGAGTTATTATTAACATACACACTTTTCAGGAAGTAAAAATAAATTGCGTTTGCGAAAATAGTGAGTGCTATGCGTTGCCTCAATGAGAAACTGATAAGAAGAAAAGTGCTTAAAGTCCAAAAGTAAAAATATAAAACTGTAAACATTTAAAATACAAACTATTGGAAATATTAAAAATATTTATAAAAAATTCTTCAAAATAAAAACGAATTATAAAAAAAATTAAAAATAAAAAAAAAAATTTAAAATTTAAAAAATTATTTTGATTATAAAAAAAAATTTAAAAAATTTCTTTAACCAAATTATGTATACAAAAAATTATTTTAACTTGCCAAATACTAAACCTGGATAGAAAAATCAAAAATGTTAGCATTAAAACTTTAAAAATTTTGAACTCCTGCTTATCTGTTATTTCCGCCATAAATGTACATTTTTTGTCTGCTGATTGGCATTTTTTAATGATAACGTTACGTACAATCTACCGCATACTTCAAAACAGCAGTGGTTTTTGTTTTCGAATTGAATATGACATGGGAATTTTCAAAAAGTTATTTCGAATTCTTATTAATAATTTACTAAATTCCGCCACAGTTCCGGCAAGGTCAAAAGTATAACCAATGGCATGCAACCACTTATGCAATTTTCTGCAACTGCACATAGGCACGCGAAATACCGTTGCTGAGCGCACGACTAATTAGATTCATATGTGTATATATATATATATATATGTATATGAGTGTATTTTTATTTTTGCTTGCACTCAGGCCCCGCATGCCTACACAAGCGCAATTCAAATCCAAATTCAGCAGTCAAAACAAAACTGTCGGTCGTCATGGTGATCCTTAGCCATAAAAGGGACATAAACACAAACACAACATGACATGCCACAAAACTTAAACGTGAACGTGAAGCAAAAGAAAATGCATGATAACCCAATTAGAAGCTATATAACGGCACGGAAAATCAATACTTGCCTCAGAAAAGTTGAACATTTCTGAACTTGCTTGAGTCAAAAAGGCATAGAGCAAATATACACTATTATACGCATAGGCATATGTCTCTATACCATAAGAATATTTGTAGTTGCCAAATTGCCATATTTCTCTCAACTATATTTCGCTTGCAACTAATGAGTATAGCGGTCAGTGTGCACAAACTGTTGTTTTAACAAGCAATATGTCCACTAATTAATATAGCTTAGATATGCGTTCACATATATGTACATATGTAAGTTTGTACATATGTAACTACATACATATCTACAACAAGATTACATGCATTTCTTATGCCAAGCATAAATATAGAAAATAAGGCTGAAAATACGCCGCCCAACGCTGTGCCTCACCGCGCACATACATAGGTACATATATAGTACATGCATTATTTGTGTGTTTGTGCGTGTCCACCCCATCGCCACCGCAACGCTGGCTGCTCATCAGCTTGAAATTTCAACGCCACTGTCAGCCGCAGTTATTGCGTGGATACGAACTACTTTTACCATTAATTTTGTATTTAGATACCCATACATACACACATATATATACATATGTATATATGTCTAACATTGTTGTTGTTGCTTGTGGTAAAAGCTGCTGCTGCTGGCTCAATTGAAAGCACTTAATAAAAATGTACAACAATTCTTCAAGCATAATATACTATGCTCTCGTAAAATGTTAGAAAAAATGGAGAGGAAGTGGGCTTAGGAGGGGGCGTGTTGTGTACAAATATAATGGCTATAAATACAGTCATATGTTCGTATGTACATATGTGTGTATATTGCCGTGCATGTGGCATGGTTGAAGCGATTAATACGCACGCAAGTGTTGTTGTTGCGTTGTTGTAATATTGAAGTATTTTCTTACGTATGCGTGTGTGTGCGTGAATGCGTGTGTTTGCATTACACACGGTGCGGTCGATCGCATCGCTGACATGACTCATGCGAACCGCGTGTATTTTTACTGCGTTTCTTTCAAAGAAAACTCACACATACACTTAACGTGTAACGTGTGTAACGGAGTAGGGCGAAAAGACAACAACAACTACTACATTGTAGAAAATAGAAATAATAAATGGTGTACAAGCGCAATTACAACAATGCGTGTAGATTTGTAAATATATGCGTCAAATTTCAATTGCTGTTGATTCGTGCGCAGATACATACATACGAACATACATACAGACATAGCCCGAAACCTTGCTATACGTGTGTCATTTAAGGCTCGTTTTACTGTAATTATTGTTGTGGTGATTGAGAGGCAGCAACCAAACGGGCCTCCGTCAGATTTACATATTAAATATTTATGGATATTAGTAAATACATATGTACATAGTAGTAAATTTGAGTCGGAAGTGTCAAACCCTCACCACGACCGTCTCGTACAAATCATTTTAAAGTTAAATTTGTGACATAATTTTAGCGCTGCTCTGACTGAGAAAATAAGATAGAGAGCGAGAGAGAAATCTTAGAATATTATGTCTAAAGTCTATGAGAAGTAGACATCCCGACGTCTCGTATACCAAAATTATAACACCTGTCTTCTATTTGTCAAATCTTGTGGTGTGGCGAATCGAACAAGCAACTGACATAAGTTAAACATAAAAGAACAGATTTAAAAGAGATTTTACTACTTGAAAAAGGTATCCACATATTCTCTTATATAAAATTGTGGCTTCACATGAATTTTTTTTTTAAGAGTAAAATATTAAAGAAGAGCATTAGCGAGCAGAGAAATGGCGAACCGAAAATCGTCAATATCAGATTTCTGCCATGAACCAGACATACCTCGCTCTACATTTCAGCAATTTTTAGAGAATTGAAAAAAGGTGCCGAAATTTTTGAACTACTTAAACTAAGATACCAACTAGGCGCAATTTCAACTCAAAAAAGTTGTCTTAAACTACTTAAAACCACCGACAAATCAGACAAAGAGTTTCCTCTTTTATAATTAGCATCTTGGAAGACAAAATTAAATATTTGAGGTTATATCTCAATTAAAACTAATATTTTAATAAAAATGATTAGCTCTTGAGAAGAAAGAACTAATAAAATTATATATGCGCTAGAAAAATGGATTTTACTACTTCTAGTGTCGTCTAATTTTAATGCTCATTTACATACATACTTATGTATGTAATTTAAGGCCTTCCTGGCGTACGATTCTCCGCGCGTACGCATATTTTTACGAGCGCAAACATTTCCATTATAAACATTTACGACTAACTCATTCTTATATTTTTACGTGTTTTTTTTTTTTTCGTGCCTCGAGGGCAGAAGCAACGTCAGCAAATACATACCGACATGAAAAACACAAACTGCTCGCTTGATCTACAGATCTCCACAGACGATCGCACACATGTGCGCTAAATACACAATTACAACAAAAAAGGAAAACGTAGCCATCATTACAATTGAGCAAGACTGGCCACTTGCCGGGCGAATACATTGACCGCACGTTTTAAACGAAGAAAAAAAATTTAAGAAAATAAAGTGAAACGAAAAGCTAAGGGCCTAAATGAGGCCAGTTTTCTGAGTTAAACGTAATACGGACCATAATTTACAGCTTTGATGAAAATTTATTTATAAAAAATATAATGTAATTGTTTTCTTAATTTTATATACATATAAAGATATATATGTATATATACAATATATGTATATATATTTTTTTTTCGTTTTTGCTTTGTGTACCAAAAATAACACATAGTCAGAATCACAGTTGGCTGCTACGCCTTCCTGTTTTTTTTTTCTGGAGCTTCCCAAGCGAGAGTCGTTCGAAAGCAAAACAGAAATTCACTTCAGAATGAAACGTTGGAGAAGTATATATGTATGAATGTATACTATATCTACATGTATATTTGTATATGCATAAATATAATTTTCATTCTATATACATAAATATTTGTTTGTAGGTGGAGCAGCTTTGCCAATAAGCTGATGAGCGCATAATATTATAATACGAGTATCATATTAATAAGCATGCCATATGCCATATATAAGTATAAACAAATGTACCTATGTATGTGTACATGTGAGTTAAAAAGCGCTAAATTGGGCGCGTGCGGCTTAAACCACATTCGAGCAGTGATATGGGCCATGAATTCAGATACACATACGATATATAACTACATAAGTATATACGCGTATATATCGACATACCTACATATGTCAGTATATCAAATCTGCTCTCCAATAAGATCATTCATCAGCGCACCATTTTTGTTGACTAATATACATATGTATATTATTTTACACTACGCTTTTTTTTTTTTTTAATTTTCAACATTTGCGTCGTAAGAATATCGCATTTGTAGTGTAGAATATTAAGTAATCGTCGCTAAATGCAAATTTGCACGCGCATACATAAACACATACCATTACAAACTATATCTTTTATTCTAAATTATATGGGTAGCGTTACAAGTAATTGATAGAAATTAGTTTTGAACAAATTTTTCGCTATATATTTAAATATTTTTGCATATAATAAATATAAATCTTATTTAATTATCAATTAAATTTGACTTTTATCTTTTTTTTTCTCCTTAGATATTGAAACCCATCCCGCGTCACCAGTTTTCCCCCATTTACTATTGGGCAACGGCAAAGATGCCAGCGATCCGAGTAGTGTGGGCGCCAATTGTGTTTTGAATGTTACCTGCCAAGCACCCAGTTCAGGTCCAGCGCCGGGACTTAAATATAAACAGATACCTGCCAGTGATACGCCACATCAGAATATCAAACAATATTTTCAGGAAGCCTACGATTTTATTGGTAAGTACAAAGCATTATAATTAACTATTGAATGTGTTTGCTAAAGCTAATATCAATGGGCTTGTGAGTCACGTGTAAATACAAATTGAGGTTAGCTTGAAATGGGTGGTAAGAGTAAAAAAATAAAAACCTTGATTTACATAAAGAATCATTAGAATATTTATTAATAGTTTAGGCTGATATCTTGATAATTTCTAGAATTTTTATTTAAATAAATATTTTATTTAGCTACCTAAAATAGTTGTGGTTATGTGCTCTGGTAGAGTAGTTAGCAGTTTAATGCGCTTTTATAAAAAGGAAGCCATCAACAAAAGCCTTTTTTTGTAACGAAAAAAAAAAACTAAAACAATACACAATACAGTAAAATAAATAAATACAAAATATTTAAACATAAATTAATTAAGCGTACAGTTTGGGTTGGAAAAAAATGTATTTGTTTTTAATTTTTACGAATACTTTTTAAGTTTTTAATTGCTAAAAATATTTATTTTAATTATATTGCGTTATATCATTATTTATATTTTTACCGTAATTTTTCTCATTTTTTTTGAAAAGAGCATTTTTATTTACTTTAATTTAATTTACTTAATCTCATTTATTTTATTTTTTAATGCATAATTTATTTTATTAACATATTTTTTATTATATATATATTAATTAATTATATTTATTTTGTTGATTTTTTTTTCATTATCATTTTTTAAAATCATTTATTAGTTACTATTTAATAATTTAACTTTCTCTAATTAATTTTAATTGTTATTTAGCTTTTTTGTATTATATCAAATACTTTGCTTAAAAATTAGTATTTTCGTCATTGTTTTAATTTCTTTATTCTTTTTTAATTTTGTTATTATTTTTATTGCCAAATCATATTATATTAATTTGTTTATATTTTTATTTAGACTTATTATGTTGCAATTACTTAGTTTTGTAAGCACAACTGTACATGTGCTTGCTTTCACTCAGCTACTGTATTTCATAAACGCAAATCCGCTTATTCTTCCAACTTACTCATTTAGTTAAGCCACTAGTTACATGCTTTTTTAATGCCTTTATTTAATTATAAATTTGCACAGCCTTAAAGAGATTTGTCACTAACCACGTGAATTTGACATTTGCAGAAAAATTGAAAATAAATTTAAAAAAAAAAACCTTGTATACTTACTCATTGTGCCTTTAACAATAAATTGGTGGGATTTAGTAAAACAATTTCCAATATTGCTAACTGTGAATTTTCTTTGCTAAATTTAAATTACTACATTCGCTTTTTGTTTTCTTTTTATACATTCTTGACGTCAATCGCCAGTTTTCGCGGCTTTGAAAATTTTCCTCAATAATACGAGTAATATACATATGTATGTATGTATTTCTCGTTCGCCGTTACACGCACATGTTGTTGTTGCACAATATTATGGCTTTTGCATAGCAAGGAAAATTATTGTAAATAATATTTGCTATAGACTTATATTTTAGCGCTGTTCGGCTAAATGTGCCTCGCCAACCCTTTCGTTGCTGCAGCGGGCACAAAATCCCATTGGTTGCATTTTGCAGTTGTGACCGCTTTTGCTTTGGTAAGCAGTCGCAAGCCGTCATCGGGTCGTCAGAACAGCGAAGTCTTCAATTTTATTTAATTAGCAATATTAACGTACAATTTTACAATGCAAGCAACTTGCTGTACGCGTATGTTGTTGTTGTTGTTGCTCCTATTATTATTGTTTTCTGTGTGACGCTCCTGTATAAAACGACAATAAAATTCACAGCGCTAACGACAACGCAACTACTGTCTACCATTTGAGTGACTGTCCAACCGTGCAAGCAACACACACATACAAACGTGAGTAGACTATGCAGCGCCTGTCGTTAGCATTGCTGTAGTCGGCCGTGTCTTGCTTCGCCATTCGTCACAGACAGTATGGCTCCTAGTGACACTTACATAAGCACAAAGTTACGTGGCTGTTTGTATGTATGTATGTATGTCGGTCGTGCGATCCTCCAGACTGCAGCAGGCGCATTTGTGGTTGCTGTTGTTATTGGCGGTGTTGCTGCAAAAAGGCCAACAGCCCGAACGACACAATGCGAGGGAATGCCTGGGAAAAGTTGTGTACACGACGACGACAACGTGAAAGCCCTGTTGGCTGGGGCTGGATTGCTGTGCATGGCTGTTTGTTGCTTTTTTTTTTTTTTTTTCTTTTTTTGCAATTGCCGAAGAAGCAGGAGACTTTAAGCAGCAAAAAGGCCAAAGAGTATGTGGTCAATAGTTGACTCAAAATGGTTTTGTTGCGTGTATTATTTCATTGCTGTTGATTTAGTGACTGTTGCCGGCAAGCGTGTCTGCCAACCGTTTGGCGTTGCTGCAATTTTATTGTTGTTGCTGTTGTTGTTATTATTATTATTGCTTTCCTTTTGCATTTGCGCCTGCCGCTGGCTGACGTGCTGTCTAACATTTCGACTGTGGTAGGTAGCGCCCTGTGCTGTGGTAAGTTTCTTTTCCGCCCTTCATCGACTGATGCATGACGCATCAAAAGCGAAGCGCCTGCCACGAGAGATCCCGTTAGCTGGGTAATCAAGAATAACCACAAGCGCTCTTCCGGTTCACTTATAAATACGAGTATGTATCTATACTATATATATATATATATATGTATATACTTATGTACCACCCACCTTCCACCCATTCGCATTTCTGTACCCTGCCCGTAGCAGTAGTGTGCATTCTTTCCCCTACACCTTTGCTCACTTGTGCGCTCAGGAGTGCACTTCCTTTACTGTTTATTTGTTTATATCGAGCTCTCAATGATTAGTCATCCTCAGTTTTCTTCGTGTGTCGGCGCACTCACGCAGCAAAATCGATCTGAGGGGTTGTAGCTGCTCTATTTCATCGTCGTTGCGTTGTTGTGTTTGCCTTACAACGTTGTTTCGATTTTTGTTTCTTATAGCTGTTTTTTGTGCTACTTGTTGTGAGTAGTTGTTGCTTTTTACGCAACGTTTCACGTCATGACCACAGTTTGAGGAAAGCATGCACGCACTACTGAAGTCAGCAAAAGACATGCCTAGTAGGAAAAAGCTACATAATTTAGTTGATAGAAGTTCGACGAGCAGATAGAGCGCTTAAAGTGTGTAAAAACGTGTATAAAATTCAGCAAAAAGACGCTAAAATTAAAAATGATTCCTAAAACTCACTCTTTCGAAATCAATGCCAATTTACGCAGCCATTTTGACAGCTGTCAAATATGAAAAACAGTTCCAAAGCAAGTTTTGACATTTTGCAAACTGATTTTAATTATTAGACAACTGATATTATGCCAAAATACAACAAAAATGTCATTTCAAGTTCAAGAGTTTATCTTCAGTCCTGAAATTATTCATAAATTTTGTGAAATGCTTTACATTAAAAGAGAAAATTCGCTTTTAGTCCTTAACAATTTCCATTTATATTAATCCTTTTTTGTGCCGCTTACACCAGAACTTCACCGGTGCACAAACGCTGCGCTTCCCAGCAGGTAAATGGGGAGGAAGTATTTTGCTGTATGCGTAAAAAAACAACAGCGCCAACACACGCACTCACCGCTCACAAAAATCCAAAAATAACAAACAACGCCACAACTGCTACTGTTTTCATTCCTTTGCGTTTTGTTGTAGTTGTTGTGGTTGTCACAACAGCTGCCACGAGCACGTCTGTAGCCTTAAGCGCACTCACATACATACATACACACTGATGTGCCGCGCTCATTGCTGTTGGTGGTGGCGGCATTATTTTTGTTCTTCCGCATGTGTTTTTCTTGTTGTTGGTGTTATTGCTGCTGCTGTTGATGCTAATGATGAGGATGGCGCACATTGTCGATGAGTCATCGCCTTATAAATGCAAATGTGGCACAAAGAGGCGCTACACAGCACCCCCACCCACCGGTGTGGCACTCTTTTGTTCTTTTATTATTATTATTTTCTTATATTTCTTTGTGGTGCAACAACAACAGCAACTGCTTAGCACCTTCATTGTGGCTTGTCGCTTCTCGTTTGCTATGCGGCTGTCATCGATTTTGGTTTATTTTCGCTTTATTGCGACGTACATTTAACCGTTACCGTGGACACGAGCGCCTCCACCCCACCTTCCAATGACTGTGTCAAGTTTGTGTATTTATTTGACTGCGGCTGCCTTAAGGCAAATCCTTAGCTCCACCGCAACCCAAGCTGGCAGGCGGACATTTGTGTGTAGACATGTGAATATATACGAATATATATATATATATGTATGTGCATATATATATTTGTGTGTGTGTGTGTGTGTGTGGTAATATGTGCGCTTGCCTCCATCACCTTCGTCCTCCTGCTGCGGGCATTGATCTATTTTCGAACGTGTGCTGAGAAATAGCCGAAGGACGGTGGACATTTTTTCCACGCTCTCACCACCACAACTACACAAATCTGCACACATACAAATGTGGTTACTCATAAACATTAATTTTGCCTTTTGGCGGGACAGCGCGCGACTGTTTGCAGCTAAATAGAACTACATTGGGGCCAAATTGTTGACACGCGGCCTTTTGCTATGCCTTCACACCGCTCAACGCCCCTGCTTCCGCTTCTAGCAGTTTTTGAGTTTTCCAACAATTTGCACGTTTATTTGTGTGTGTGTTTTGGTTTTCTTTTATTTGCTTAGCGGTTTTCCAATTTGCATCAGCATTTAACGATTTCTTGCATAGCTTAAACTTACAGTTATGTGCATTTGACTTTTTAACTATTGTTGCTGTAAAGTGTTGTGTAAATAATTTTCTTCCCTTTTTGCAGTTATTTTCAAGAAACTTTCTTAAATTTGTTTAGGAACTTTTTACTGGTACTCTTACGTAACTATTTGCGCTTAATGTTAATAACTTGCCTATCCATTTGCCGTAATAACTGTTAGCATTCAGTGTCGTAAGTGGCTATTTGTAGTCGTTTTTTCCTACAACTATTACCGAATTTTCCATTTCTCGAAATGACAGGTGCGTGGTTCTGGAATA